AGTAGTAGTGGTAGTAAAAGAAGCAACAGTATTAGTAAGTATGGCTCCAATACTAAACAGATTACTAACATTATAGGTAGTGATGATGATGCCGTTGCTGTTGTTGATGATTATGACAATGGCGATTCTGATAACAATTATGATAGTAGTAGTAGTAGTAGTAGAGGTGGTAGAGGTAGTAGTAGTAGTAGTAGAGGTGGTAGTAGTAGTAGTGGTGGTGGTAGTAGTAGTAGTAGTAAGGATTATGATAATGATAACGAAGTTTACGACGTTACTGATTATGATTTTAATAGTAATGGAGATGCAATTAATGATGACTATAGTAGTAGTAGTAGTAGTAGAAGCAGCAAAGGAAGAAGTAGTAGTAGTGGTAGTAATAGAATGTTTAAAAAAAAATTGCGTAAGAGTGGAAATAATGCTATTGATGAAGAAGAAGAAGGAACAATAATGGAGTGATTGAGAGGAAAAATTTATAGGTGGACGAATGAATGAATTAATAAATAAATGAATTAATTAATTAATGAATAAATGAGCCAAAAGTCGAACGAATTGACAAACGAATGAGTAAAAATTGAATGAATGAATAAGCTACTGTTACTGCAATAAAATATAGAATGAATAATAAATAGAACGAATGAACCAACGAACAAATAAACATATGAATGAATGAATGAATGAATGAATAAATGAATGAATGAATGAATGAATGAATGAATGAATGAATGAATGAATGAATGAATGAATGAATGAATGAATGAATGAAACAACAATTATTACCGGTAACACTGAAGAACATTAATTTTCAAAGTTTTGTATCCATAGTATCATGTTACGGACTTTTTGGACACTTTATTTTGGCTTTATTCCATATTTATTATCAATATTTTAGATTTGTGGTTATTTTAAGTTTCATTATTACACACACACGCACACACACGCACACACATATACACACACACATACACACACACGCATGCACATAAAGACACACACACGCACGCACATACAGACACACACACGCACACACGTGTTTGACGTAAAAAAAAAAACTACGTTTGGTTCTTCTAGAAAATAATCTTTAATTCAAATAAAACAAAATAAAATAAATAACAAGAATGAATAACAATAATAATTAACATTAATAATAAATATATATAAATAAAAAAAAGAGAGAGAGAGAGAGAGAAAAATTGAAATAAGACCGTGACTAGAATATTTTTGCTCGCCTGGAAAAATGTTTAAAAAGATGAGTGAGTGAGATTGATAATTCTAAATAGATGAATGAATGAATGAACGAATGAATGAACGAATGAACGAATGAACGAACGAACGAATGAATGAATGAATGAATGAATGAATGAATGAATGAATGAACGAATGAATGAGTGAGTGAGTGAAAATCTTTCAATAAAAAGATTTAAAGAAAAAATGAAAAAACCTTATAGCATATAATATTGCAAATGATGAAATTTGAGGAATGACAATGTCTAGACCCTAGGGCAAAATCAACAACTACCACGACGACGATAATAACGATATACAAAGAGCAAAAGATATTAAAAAGAATGTCAATCAATCAATCAATCAATCAATCAATCAATCAATCAATCAACCAACCCAATCAACCAAAAATCAACTAACCATCAACCAACCAACTAGCCAATTTACCAACCAACCAATCAACCAACCTACCAACCAATCAATCAGCCAGCCAGTCAACCCAAATTCGTCCCGGAGTTCATGGATAGGAAATCTTTAGAATGCTGACTGGAGTAATCGCTGTCAGTATAAGATTCATTCATCATCATCATCATCATCATCATCCTCATCCTGCTTCTATCATCATCATCATCATCGTTATCATCACCGCCTACACAATCATCATCATCATCATCATCCCCCTTATTATCATCATCGTCATCATCATTACCATGAAGTCGACGACGACAATGATGATGATCAAGGTGATTACGACGATTAAGGTAAGAACGATCAACTGTGTTACTATTTTTAGCAACAACAACAGGAATTGACTTCCGGTTGGTCTGGCGTGGCTCCGTAGCAAACACGTGCTTTCGGCCGCCATCTTGTGACGTCATCATTTCGGCGTCAAATTCTAAGCCCGGTAGCATCGTCATTCTTTTCTTCTTCTTCATCATCATCTTGGTTTCCAGCGTGTCGTTGTTATAGTAGTCTGCGTTGTTGTTGTTGTTGTTGATGTTGTTGTTGTTGATGATGATGTTGTTGTTGTTGTTGATGTTGTTGATGATGATGTTGTTGTTGTTGATGTTGTTGTTGTTATTGTTGTTGTTGATGCTTCTATTTCTATATACCAACGGCGAATCAATATTGAAAGTATCATCATCATTATTACCACTTTTATTATTACTTTTATTGGTGATAGAATTGTTCTTATCAGTACTAGTTGTAGTAGTAGTGGTAGTAGTAGTAGTGGTAGTGGTAGTAGTAGTGGTAGTAGTAGTAGTAGTAGTAGTGGTAGTAGTAGTAAAAGTAGTAGTAGCTGTAGAAGCCACAGCAATATCAATGTAGTTATTACTACTATTAACGCTGTGAGTGTCGTCATCGTCGTCATCATAATCATTATTATTGTTGTTGTTATTGTTATTATTATTATTAGTAGTAGTAGTAGTAGTACCATGAACAACGGGATCATTATCAAGCTCGCGGTTGTTATTTTTTGATTGGTAATCATCATCATCACGATCGATGACGTCATCGCGATTACAAGTTTTTGACCTCTGATTGGCTGTCGATCTCTTGCTTCGTAGCATCGTTTTATCGTTATAAATCGGTAGGTTGTGGTGATGATTGTTACAACAGAAATCACCATCATCGCGGGGGTGGTGGCAATCATGATAATGATGTCCAGACGCAACATTGTCGCCATCTTGTTTGCAACAACAGCAGCAACAACAATGACGATGCTGATGACGATTCTTCCTAAACAAAAGTTCATTAGCTGATGAACTCCGTACCATGCGATTGCTAGGAGGAACGGTTCTTAAAAAATTTGTTGTTGTTGGTACGTTGTTGTTGTTGCTGCTGCTGCTGTTGTTGTTGTTGCTGTGGTTGTTGTTGTTACTGCAGCTGTTGTTGCTGTGGTTGTTGTAGCTGCTGTTATTGCTGTGGCTGGCCGCGAACGTCGGGAAAGGATCTTCACATTGAACAACGGTACTACAGCTGCCCAGACAACTGATCAAAGAGGTCGAGGATGACGGCGACGATGTCGACTTAGCAATCGCTATCGTCGTTGCTGCTGGTAATTCCATCACAACTCTTGCAGTTGAGACGAATTCGCCACCATCGCAAATGAAGTTATCCTTCCTACCACAAAAAAAATCATAATCAGCAGCTGTTGCAGCTGCTGTTGCATTATTAGCAGCAAACCCAGCCGCGCTGACGTCGTCATCGTCGTAACAACAGTCGTCGTCGCGGAAGCTACGAAAATCCGGCGGCGAAGATAGTCTGCCTTGCTGCAGAGTCGTCAAAACCTGCTGCTGAAAATCGCACGACTTTCTTGCTATCGTCGACTTCAACGTTTTCATAGTTGTAGCTGTGGCTAACAGTGCGCAACTACCACTACTACAACCGCCATTTTTATTACTACAACCACCGCTGTTATTAAAAGTCAGCTTGTTGTTGTGCTGCTGCTGCTGTAGCAGTGGCTTCCTGATGACGTTCTTGTGGTACTGATTGCGGTGATGACGCGCAGTTTGCTGCTGCTGCAGGTTCAAATCCAACTCTCCAGTTAGAGAGGTGCGTGGGTTGTAGAGGCATGGCTGAATTAGGGTGGGGTAGCTGAGAAGGGTGTCCATTATTTCGCTGATCTGCGGCCGGTTGGTCGGCTCGTACGCCCAGCACTTTTTCAAAAGTGAACTTCTGTTTGTTAGATTTTTGGAGGGAAAAAAGTATTTTCTATCAGATTTGTAACGTTGTTAAATTAGAATGTAGTTTTTTTTTATTTTATTCAAAATTTCCTGGTAAATAATTCCAAAATGCCATAAAATTCTAATGAGATAATTATGAAATAATGATAAATTATTATTATTATATTATAAAAATTATAATGATAATTTAATAATAACCAAACGATAAAAAATTTGCCAACAATTTGGGCGGGCACGTGTCAGGCAGCTGCAACGTTTCACCGTTCTTCACGCAGTTCAAAACTTGTCTGTTTGATAAGCCCTGTGGTATTTTCATTGATGATAAGGTTAATTCTGGAGCATTTTTGTGGTATTTTGGGGTACATTTTTGTGGTTTTGTTTTGTATTTTGAAGTGTACCTGGTATGGAAAGCTACCGAAGGTAACAATCTCGTAGAGAAGCACTCCGTAACTCCACATATCTGATGCCACACTGAACAATCCGTCCAACAAACTTTCCGGAGGCATCCATCGAACCGGAAACATTCCTGTGGGATTGGCGAGAAAAATAACAGCAACAGTACAACAAATCTTCCCACAAATCTTCCTATGAATTCTCTACAAATTTCACCTGAAAATTAATTCACCTCTCTTATCGAACCGATAATATCCGCTGTCTTTCATTGGCCTTGTCATACCGAAATCGCCGATTTTAACCGTCAGACTCGAGTGAACTAGACAGTTCCGGCAAGCTAAATCCCTGTGGACGTAATTAGCCGAAGCTAAATAGTCTAGACCTTTAGCAATGTCTAGCGCCATGTTTGTCAGCTGTCTGGGCGAGATGTTGTCTGCTTCTTTTGTCGTCTGGCCGACCAGCTGACGACGGGAGAGTAGGAAGGTTTTGAGGTCGCCTGTGTGTGCGTGTGTGTGTGTAAGTGCGTGTGTGTGTGTGTGTATGAAAGAAAAATGTGGGGTTTGTCTGTGTTTGTTTGTGTGCGGTGCCCGTCTGTGAAAGAGAGAGAGAGAGAGAGAGAGAGAAATTGTCTGTGAGGTTTGTCGAGTTAATGTACTTGAGCAGTCTGACAACCAATCAGCCATCTAAAAATGAATCATCCAATCAATCTGTCATCCATAAAATCAACCAATTGATCGATCAACCATTCAGAGAACCAGCTAGCCGGTCAACCGACCATGCAACATGAACTCCATGACAGTGAAGATTGGCTCGCCCCTCGTACAGACACCCAATAATTTGACGATGTTCATATGGTGCAACTGCTTCATCATATCAGCCTCGCTCAAAAAACTCAGCTGGGTGAATGAATGAATAAAAAATAAATTAATGAACCAACGAATGAATGAACGAACGAACAAATAAATAAGTAAATAAATAAACGAACAAAGGAATTATCGAATAAATGTGTAAATTAAATAACGAACCAGCTTATACGATTCGGTTACATAATTAATTTTACAAACACTTCATAACACCCACATCACCATCATCATCTTCACCATCGTCACTACCATCATCATCGTCGTCGTCGTCACCATCAGCATCACCTTTTCTTCATTCTTCGACGGAACTTTGAGAGTTTTGACGGCTACAGCAGTCCACCTGCCGGACTCGCCGACCATTTCGCCACCGAAGACAGTCCCGAAAGCACCCTCGCCTAACTTCCGGTTGAGGATGACGTCATCGCGCGGAATTTCCCACTGGTCGAGATGTAGCCAGGGCAGGTTTTCTTTGAAGAGGCCGAGCTCTTGCAGGCGTTTCTGAGTCGGAGATGAATGCCTCGACCTTCTTTGTTGGATGTGCGTACGTTCTCCATCATGGATACGTTATGTAGTGTAATTGTAAAGCCGTGCAAAACTAACAAAGAACGAAAATCACACATACACGCACAACACACACACACGCACACAACACGCACACACATACACACGCACAACACGCACACACATACACACGCACAACACACAACACGCACAACACATACACACATTACACGCGCACACATTACACGCGCACACATACACGCGCACACGCACCTCAACCTCCTACACGTGAGACAGAACGCGACGGAAATGATGCAGACGACAAAAGTGACGACGACGACGACGATGATCCTCATCGTGCCACACTCGACGTCCAGCAGACGTCTCAAGTCTTCCATGAAACACACCACACTCTTCGCTAGAGCCGGAAAATAATAACAATAATTACAACAACAATAATAATAATAACAACAATAATAATAATAACAACAATAATAATAATAATGATTATGGTAATAATAACAGCAATAACAATAAAAAGAATACTTGAGTTGTTGCTTAAGACAGTAAAGTCAATGACTTCAACGTTATAACTGTTGTTGTTAGTATTATTATTATTATTGTTATTGTTTTTGCTATTATAATTGTTCTTATAATTGTTGTTTTTAGGATTATTGTTATTATTATCGTTAGTAACTTCTTCATCCGTACTATAGTTCAATCCCGACAGCCAAATCTTCCACCTGCAATGAATAAATTATGCTAATGAGATGAGCTAATCAGCAGGCACGAAACCGATGGTACGATTAATTATTCACACACACATATATACACGCACGCACACACATATACACGCACGCACACACATATACACGCACGCACACACACACATATACACACAGAGTGTTTGTATACAAAGTATTGACAAACCTTTTTTCATTGGCAAGAAGCCAATTGCAACTAATTTTATACATATCGTAATAATTTTTAGTATAATTATTGTTATAATTAATATCCTTTTTTCGGAACATTCCATCCATCACGGCCATGTTATTATTCATAATATCCATAATATTATTATGATCATAATTATTATTATTATTATTATTCATAATATCCATAATATTATTATGATCATAATTATTATTATTATTCATAATATCCATAATATTATTAGAATCATAATTATTATTATTATTATTATTCATAATTTTTCCGAACGCCGTTCTTAGGTCTGAATTGGAAATGTGCAAGTTTGTGACGAGATGATTGACATCCTGTGGGAGGAGCTTAAGATGCCCCCAACTGAACTTGTAACTCAATCTCTGTACGAATGTGGTGTGTGTGTGTGAGAGATAGAGAAAGAGAGAGAGAGAGAGAGAGAGAAGGAGAGAGAAAGAAAATGAATGAATAAACGATGATAAATCATATGTTGTTAAAGAAGAAAGAGAAAGCAAGCAAGATATATATATATATATATATATATATATATATATATATAGAGAGAGAGAGAGAGAGAGAGAGAGAGTAGACGATTGTAAGTAATGATAATGATGATGAAAACCTTATAAAAAGTTGAAAACTCTAGATAGATACGTGTGGATTTAAAGTCATATTTGCGAGTGGAAGAATTAACTTACCTGCGCAAACAAACTTCTACCATTGTAGTCATCATCATCTGTATCATTACCATCATCATTTGTATCATTACCATCATCATCTGTATCATTATCATCATCGCCTCTATCCTTATCATCATCGTCAACGTTTGTATCATTATCATCGCCGGTTTTTTTCATTTCTTTATTTAGTTTTTCTTTCTTTCCATCCACATGATCATCATCATCATCATCAAAATGAATGGGAACGAATGGGCTTTTATTCTTATAACTTCTTATTTTGTTATTGTTATTATTATTATTATTATTACTATTACTATCATCATTATTGTTAGCAGTAGTAGTAGTAGTAGAAATAGTATCAGAATTACTTGTATTATTACTACGATTTTTACGACTATAATCATCACCACCATCTTCTTCATCATCATCATCATTACCACCATCATCATCGTCATCATAACCGCCACCACTGATTAAATTTCCCGCCAATAGATTTAAACTCCAATCAAAAAATAGCACAGGGGTGCCATTGAGAACCAAGCTCTGAACGAAGGGGTACATTTTGGCACCCAGCCAAGCAATTCGAATCGGGTTGGTGTTATTATTATTATTGTTATTATTATTAGTAGTAGTTGTAGTAGTAGTAGTGGTTGTAGTAGTATACTGTTTTTGGATTCTGCTCTTTAAGCTACCCATGTCTAGAACTGTAAGGATGATGATGATGATGACGACGACGACGATGATGATGATTGTTGTGGTTGTGATGACGATTGTGATAATGATGATGATGATTGTGATTGCGACGATCTTGGTGCGGTGATGATAGTGATATTGGTGATGTTTATTGAATGGAGCACGAACAAATAAAAAAAGGAATAAAAAATCAATAAGTCAATCATTCATTCAATAAGTCAATCATTCATTCAATCAGTCAATCATTCATTCGTTCATTCATTCAATCAATCATTCATTCAATCAGTCAATCAATTATTCATTCAGTCAATCAATCAATCATTCATTCATTCAATCAATCATTCATTAAATCAGTCAGTCAATCAACCAAACGAACGAAACCAACCAACCAACCAACCAATCAAACAAACAATCAAACAATCAAAAAACATAATCACAACATACGTGGTGACGTTGATAGTAGTAGTAAACCGTTATCATCATCATCATCATCATCATCATCATTATTATCATTATTGTTATTATTATTGTTGTTGTTATTGTTGTTGTTATTATTGTTGTTGTTGTTAGCAGTAATCATACCAGCACTACATTCCCTAGCATAATACAATTCGCAGTAGGTTATATCGCGACGATGGTGACGTCGACGACGATGATGACGATCATTATCATGATTATTATTATTATTATTGTGATTATTATTATTATTATTATTATGACGTAGACGACGACTAGGCCCACCAAGACCGTTGGAGCGCACAAATTTGATCATTTCCGCTAAGGTCATTGTCGCCATTGCTAATGATCTTGTTGTTGTTGTTGTTGATGTTGTTGATGTTGTTGTTGATGATGTTGTTGTTGTTGTTGTTGTTGTTGTTGTTGTCGCTGATAACAACGATGGTAATAGATGCAATGATGATGTTGTTGTTGTTGTTGACGTCACGGATGACGTCACGGATGACGTAGCATAGCCAACTCTCGTGAGGCTATTCGCAATGTGATGCTGATACTGTGATAAGGACATCATCGCATTGACATCTCTCAGTGAGTAAACCCTCCAATCCTGCATCACTATCTCTCTCTCTCTCCACATTCTATCTCTTAGTTCTCTACTCATGTATATGTTAAACCTATACATGGATGGATGGATGAATGGATGGATGGATGAATGGATGGATGAATGGATAAATGGATGGATGGATGAATGGATGAATGGATAAATGAATGGATGGATGGATAAATGGATGGATAGATGAATGGATGGATGAAGGGATGGATGAATGGATGGATAAATGGATGGATGTATGGATGAATGGATAAATGGATGGATGGATAAATGGATGGATGGATGGATGGATGGATGGACGGACGGAGGAAAATAATGAATTATTATTATTATTCCTACTACCATCATCATCATCGGTAATAATTATAGTCATAAATAATAATAATATTATTGATATCTCTATAATTAGAACAGATATATTGTAACAAACTTCCCAGAGGTTCCAAGAGGTCCGTAATTAATGACGTCACCATCGTCATCATCACCGTTTTTGTTATTATTATTATTGTTGTTGTTGTTGATGATGTTGTCCAAAGCAAAGTTAATGGGAAGCCAAATTTCCATATTTATCCTTGATCGCGCTGGCAATGCCCTCCTCAAGTTAGCGCTATATAAATAACATTTTTATAACTACACCAAGTAAAAGTATATAATTAATTACTTATGTGTGCGTGTGTGTGTGCGTGCGTGTGCGTATGTGCGTGCGAGTGTCTAGTTGATTGTGTCCATATGTATGCGCATGTTGCAAGGCTAGAGGTCATGTAACACGGTGACAAAGACGTATCAATGACATTGAAACCAATAACATAAAAGTAATTTAATAATAGTTAAAATATATATAGAGAGAGAAAGAGAGAGAAGGAAAAAGAGAGAGAGAGATAGAGAGAGAGAGGAATACCTACTTTCTCAATCTTCCCAAAGCATTTCTAAAGAGCAGTGGGGAGAACTCATCGACTACATCAATTTCCACGTGTTCATAGTTCAAAATTTCCTTCACCAATATTAACAAGACGTTGCTAGCGAACAAGTGGCTCAGTCGTCTGCTGGATTCGATCGTTATTGCGCGGTTTCTACCATCTTTTTTGTCGATTTCTGTCAATTTATTTTATTCATCATTTTATCAAACGACTAGTTTTGTGCTATTATTTTTGGCGGCAGTATTATGATTCGATTGCAGCAGCAGTAGTAGTAGTAGTAGTAGTAGTAGTAGTGGTTGTAGTAGTTGTAGTAGCAGCAATTGCTACTGCAGCAGCAATAATAGTGGTAGGTAAGTTTTAATTTAAATTAAAAAATAAATGAATTTAAGTCGAAAGCGTGATGTTAATAATTCATTGATATTATAAAATATAGTAATTTGTTTAGTTAGATTTTATTTATATTTTTTTAAAGTTTGTTAAAGGTAGTAAGTAAAAGCAAGGTTCCAGGCTAACTTGTGTTGAAGTTGAAGCATTTAAAATTTGACACAGAATGAAGCATCATCAGTTGTATAAAGAATAAATAAATGAAGAACCTGAATAATATAATTCTAGCCATTTAAATATAATAATAGTATTTATTAAAATAATAATAAATATTATTATTATTGTACAACTCAGTCATATCCAGGTTCATCTCAATGCATGTAAACAAACATTATTATAATAAGCTGCATATTGGATCGAGATTAGCTTGATGTTGCATCCAAAATACCTTTCTCGTAATGATATTTTCCAAGGTATTATGTGTTATTTAGTACATATTACAGTACATTACAATTTCACATACACACATGTAAACACACACACTACTGCTTGCTATCTATATGCTTTCCTATCGCTTCAGAAGAGAGTTAAAAAGTTATTTGTTCAATAGAGCATTTTATGACAGTAGGCTACTATCCTCTGAGGAATGTCAATAGAGTGAATAACATAATAATAATTATATTAATAATGATAACATATGTAATGGTGTATATATGGTGTATAAATGGTGTACTCAAAACACACACGCACTTGATAGGAAAATATGGATAATCATCAAATGATTCTGTCTAAAAACTAACTAGCTCTAAAATAAAACACATCGAATTTTTGGAGTATAAAAATGATAGATGGAAAATATGTTTGTAACATATGATTAATTTCCAGTCCAACAAGAAACAGGTCGTGAAATAAAAAATTTTCATTGTTTCGGTTTTACACCACTTTCACTTTCGTTTTCTTCGCCACCACGCACTCTCACAACCATAAATATTTGAGCGTTGTTTGGGATTTCCAGATTTTTTATCTTTATGTTTTCTGTGTTTTCCAACTCAATGCCTGTAAATTAAAAATGTTTGGATAATTGATGAATGAATGAACGAACGAACGAATGAATCAATGGTTAAATGAGTGAATAAAAAATGAATGATTGATTGATTGATGGTTAAATGATTAATTGAATAAACGAAGGATTGCTATTTCAAACTAACCTGCATAAACCAATCTCAAATCTTCATCATCACTCAGAGACAGTTTGCACTTCCTTCTTACTTCATCGTACAATTGTTTCAATGTACAGGTCTGATTATTGTTAATTTATTATTAATTGACAATAAATATTTCGTTACTGAATAAAATATTGAATTTGTAAATGAGATCTGATAAAAATGAAAATGTTGAAATCGTTAAGTTACTCTGTCAATGCAAACCACGTTTCTTTTCCCTTCGACTCCCACAATATTTAGCTGAATTATTTCAGTCATTTTATTTTATTTTAACTATTTTTGAATCAAACTATGGAAAAATATTTAACTGAAGTTAGTGCAAATGTGAAATACGTATATTTTATTTCATACCATATAAATATAGTTCTCAAATGTGAAACTGAAACCTGGTGAATTCCACTCTTATCTGTATCAAATTCGTTAAAAATAGCGTTAGTTATAATTAGATTTATCTACTTAAATAAAGATAAGTTTGTTATTAGGTTGAATTTTAGGTTAATTATGGATATTTCAATTAGAAAACTGTTCTATCATTCTCCATTACATTGTAATAATTATAAATATATTGAATATATATTATATATATATATATATATATATATATATATATAAAATAATTATTTATTAAATAATAATAAAGTTTTGTACTTTCCTATTTTGCTAAGTGCACTTTTAAACGTTGCTCGGGTAAAAATTGTGGTTATTTAAAAATCAAACAATTTTTTGAGAAATTAGGCCATTTATTTCACTTTTTTTTTATAAAAATAAATGTGTAGCTTTTTGTAAAATTTGTAATTTTGTTTATTTATTTAATCTACTTTCACTAAAAAATACTCCCCTGTTCAAAATTCGAAGTTCAGTTTCCAGTCAAGTCAGTACATAAAATACAATTGGTACAGAACAGACGAAACTAAAGTTAGGCATAATATTTTAAATAAATATTTAAATGAAAAAGGCGATCATCTGTAAGTTATATAAATGAATACTTTATCATCTTATGCCCTTTATAGACTTAGTTGGTGTTGGGTGTCTTGTCAGCAGTTTAGTAGCAAAAACTAACTAAACCAGTGTTGTAATTTTTGTAACAGATTTTGATAAAAAAAAAGGTTTTTTTTATTGCATTTTATGAAGGGTTAGGTTTGTCTGTTGTCTGTAGGGTTAGGGCGGTTTGTCTGGAAATATAATTTCTAATATGTCCTGACTATATATCCAATATTAGTAAATTTTTACTATTTTCATCATGACTGTACTTTTATACTTATACTTTTATGCTATTAATTATAATAAGTTTTATATTTCATCTAATCTAAATAACATTCAGTCAGAATTCATGATGTCATCACAAGCAACAGCCAACAACACTAACAACATTATGTGCCCTGCCGCTGTTCTAGATCGAGAAAGTAGAAGAAGATCTATTGCTGACAAAGTTAAGTCTTACCCCGACTTCCCTAAACCTGGAATTCTATTTAGGTTCTTTGATAACTCATTATTAATCTTGTCATTTAAAAATAAAAATTTCATTTCATTTGTTTATCCCCTATTTTTTAGAGACATGTTCCCACTTTTGAGAAATCCAACTGACTACAGAGAGTGCATAAATTTATTTGTTGAAGAAATTAGGGAAAAATACCCCAGTACAGAAGTGGTTGTCGGCATCGAGTCGAGGGGGTTCCTTTTTGCGCCTCTGATGGCCCAACAGTTGAATGTGGCTTTCATCCCCATTAGGAAGGCAGGGAAATTGCCTGGGCAGACGATTTCTTACTCCTATGCTCTTGAATATGGCAATGTTGGGGTCTATTTATTATTTTTTTCATATCTTCTCGATGTTTTTAATTATTATTATTATTCTTTCAATAATATTCAATAATAATATTATTATTTTTATATTATTTTATGAAAAATTACGATAGGATACAATCGAGATTACAAGAGAAAGTATAGAAGCAGGTCAACATGTTGTTGTTGTGGATGATTTGTTGGCAACTGGAGGTATTTCTGTGTACTTGTGTTGTTGTATTGTTGCTGTTTTGTATGTTTTGTTGGTGTTTTAGGAATTCCATTTTGTATTTTTTTTATATATTGTACATTTTTGTGTATTTTTTAATTATTCAATAATGTTCATATCCTAGTGTATAATTTTATATACTTCACATACACACACACACATACACTCACAGACACACCCACACACACAAACAAACATACACACACACAAACATAATTACCCCATCCATGCAACAATAGGTACATTGTCAGCCTCCATAGAATTAATGAACAAGGCAGGGGCTTCAGTGGAGTGCTGCATGGTCCTACTTGAACTCTGTGACCTCAAGGGCAGAAAGAAGATTAAGTCTCCTGTCTATTCTATGATACCCCTTAATTAATTGTATGATTAATTAGTTGATTGATTGGTTGGTTGATTAGTTGATTGATTAGTTGATTGATTGGTTGGTTGATTAATTGGTTAGTTGATTGGTTGACTGGCCCGTTGGTTTTTTGGTTAGTTGGTTCAATAAAGTTGATTGAGTAAGTAGTTGATTGACTAATTGATTGATTGATGTTTTTTATTGAATCCTTCTTCGGTGATGTGATTGATTTTACAAGTTGATTCTCAGTCATTGGTTGATGTTTCCCGCCATTTTATTATTATTATTATTGTTGTTGTTGTTGTTATATATCCGAATAATTTTACATATAAAATTGATTAGGTTTGTTTCTGCAATTGTCACAGCAATAAGTTTTGTTTCGATTTTTCTAGAAACATTTGACAAAAACTTTTGTATTTTTTGTCACACATAATAATAATAATATTCTTATTATTGTTTTATTAATATTAATATTATTTTCAAATTATTTGTTATATTTTACAACGATTTCATTTTGGCTTGTTAGTAGCGAAGACTTATATGATGATGAAGTTTTAAGAAGAAATGCTTTTTAATTCATTTTAAAAGGCATTCTTCATCCTAAACCTCTCTTAATGATGGCATTTGTTTGGTTTTGGTTTACACGAAGTCAATGATCCACATTGCCTTATATACTTTCATAAATGTGTGTTCTTTTTTTTACTCTCTCTCTATCTTTCTCTCTCTCTCTCTCTCTTATCTCTGTCTATCTATCTCTATCTATATATCTATCTGTCTGACTGCCTGTCTATCTATCTATCTATCTATCTATCTATCTATCTATCTATCTATCTATCTATCTATCTATCTATCTATCTTTTGTTTTTGACGGAATCTTTTAAAGCAGTTGTTAGCTCAAATATTTTCTCGATAATTAATTATTTATATATAAATAAATATCTTTTAATTATTTGTCTTTATTTGATTATTTATTTATTTATTTGTTTTTGTTATATACAGCTTTGTTTGGTTTTTTTATACTTGAATTGAATAAATAAATAATAATAATCAATAAATATATTCGATAAATTCGATTTTATCAATTTGGCTTCAGTGCTATTGTCTTTCTTATTTCAACAATAGACGACAATAATATATATATATATATATATATATATATATATATATATTCTATAAATTNCTACCGAATG